TGGGGGTCACACATGCATGCCAGCGTGAATTCCTGCTCCTCGAGGAGCAGATGCAGATGCTGCTTGATGCCATGGCACAACCTGTCGACCAGGGCCCTGACTCAAGGGAGAACCTCGGTTCTCTTGAGGCCTGGCTCCAGCATAGACTCCATCACCCGATCTAGCCCACGAATAAGGGGGATGATTTGCCCAAGGCTGGCCGTGTGGGCACAGAGTACATTTGTGGCATCCTGAAACAGTTTCAGGACACGAGCCATCTGGGACAGGGTCAGCCAATCATTGGAGCTGATGCTCAGCTCCCCCTCCCCCCACTGGATGGACACGGAGGATAGGATGTCCTGGTCCACCATCTTCTGCTCCACCAAATGGGCAACCATGGCATAGGTGGAGTTCCCTTGGGTGCCAATGTCCTGGAGGAGGACGTGCTCCGGCTCAGCCGCCTCACCCTGCCTCTCTCTCAGCAGCCATGAAGCCCTGATGCTTCTTGAGAAGTGACCTGCCAAGCACTGGCGGTTCTCCAGCAGGGAACTGATCTCAGTGGTGCCCTCCCCAGTCGTCGCATTGCTCCCCAGCCCCAGGGCATCCTTCACTGCCAGGTGAATCTTTTGCACCATGCAGACGACGTTTCTGAGTTTGGCTTTTGGGGGCAGCCCTACACATGATTGGGCTGCCATCCGTGACCAGATAGCCACAGGTGATCTGTTTCCCCCAAACCAGTTCTTTAGGCAAATGGCTGTGGAGATATTCACTGTGTGCTCCACATCCATACCCTGAGTATGGAGGAGCACTGCCCTGTAGCTGGACAGAAGCATGCTCATCCCCGCTTCAGGCGGTGGGGCCCCCTGCCCACCCTGAAACTCCTCGGGTTGCCACCAGTGTGTGGTGAGGGAGAGGTAGCCATGGTGCTGGCTGCTCCAAAGGTCGGCCATCAGGTGGACCATTCTCCCTCAAGCCTAGGCTAGCTTGGCTTTCACCAGATACACCGTGAACTGATACATGGTGGGCAACATGCTCATGGTCCTTCGGGAGGGAATGGTGTACCATGGGGCCACACAATGTAGTAGCCCCCAAAAGCCCACATCCTCCACCAGAGAGAAAGGCTGGCTGTCCAGGGCGATCATTCGTCTGATGTGCTGAGTGATCACTTCATGAGCCCTGGCCCTCATCCTCTTTCCAGGTGCTGGGGAGAACCCAACAAGCATGATCTCTTGAAGCGTGGTTTGCCTGGGGGAGGCCATGGGGGAGGCCAGAGGCTTTCAAAGAAGAAACACGAGCCCCACAATCAGTGCCAAGAGAAGTCTGCAAACCTCCCCCAGGTAATGGTTAGAGAGTGGGGTGCCCACTTTCCAGGCCAGAGAGAGAACTCTGAGGTGAGGGACTTCAGCAACCCAGGGAGGTGGGGTGCAGAAAGGGGAGAGGACCCACGGCCTGTGCACAGGAGACTTTGCCAGTGACAGCTCCCCACCCCAGAAGGTGGTTTGAGACTTGGTCGCCAAGGGGCAGGGAGAGAGAGAAAGAACTCTGAGGTGAGGGACTTCAGCAACCCAGGGAGGTGGGGTGCAGAAAGGGGAGAAGACTCACGCCCTGTGCCCAGGGGACTTTGCCAGTGCTAGCTCCCTGCCCCCAAAGGTGGTTTGAGACTTGGTCGCTGAGTGGGGAAGGGTGGAGAGAGAAGGAACTCTGAGGTGATGAACTTCAGCAACCCAGGGAGGCGAGGTGCAGAAAGGGGAGAAGACCCACAGCCTGTGCCTAGGGGACTTTGCCAGTGCCAGCTCCCCACCCCAGAAGGTGGGACGGTCGCCAAGGGATGGGGAGAGAGAGAAGACCCACATCCTGTGCCCAGGGGACTTTGCCAGTGCCAGACCTGGTTGCCGAGGGGCGGGGGGGGGAGAGAGAAGGAACTCTGAGGTGAGACACTTCACCAACCCAGGAAGGCAGGGTGCACAAAGAAGAAAAGACCCACAGCCAGTGCTAAGGGCAGTCACCAATTTCCCCCCGAAAGTAGTTGGATGGTTTGTCGCCAACTGGCCAGGAGAGAGTGGGTGTCCTTTTGGGATGAGCAGAAAAGTCAAACCCCACCACCAGCAGGCAGAGAACACAGAAGGAAACAAGCAACCCCGGAGTCAAACCAAAAACACGTTGTGAAAGCAAAAGAATTCAAGCCCAGTTTCCCATCCCTCGAAGGGAAGAGAGAAAAGGCAGGCAGCTACCAGGCATTGCAGTGGAGAAATGCAGAAAGGGGTAAAACAGCAAGAAAAGGGGAGGGGAGGAGCCCAGTAAATTTTCCCCCCACCTCAGGCCCACCACACACAAAAGGAGCACTACACTGCAAGAGACCACGATGCAAAACAAAGGATGGTCATGTGCCACCTGGGAATATATACACACACCGCTCCCATTTCAAGGGAGAAGGATGGACGTCTCTGATTGGAAATCAAAGATGCCTGTCAACCACAGGTGCCCGGCATTGGTCCCTCAATGGCTGAAAAATCCCACCCACATCCACTTTTCTGCGTGAAATGGCAGGGGTGGGGTTTTTTCTGGTGAAAGTACCCAAACACTTCCAAGCGGAGCATGGGAAGATCAGGCGCTCAAGCTTCCAGACACATGACCTTCAAGCCAGTCTGTCTGAGCCCCCAAAAAGGCAATGTTCAGCCCAGATTTTGGTTCGGGGTCCAGGTCTGTGCCCATCCCCACCTACTATCATGTGACTTGAATGACTCACCCAAGCCCAGCTGCTTGCTACTGTTCAATAACAGTCACAACAGTCAGTTTGGTGTAGTAGTTAGAAGTTCAGATAAGGATCTGGGAGACCTCAGATCAAATCCCCACTCTGTCATGAACCTTGAGTCAATCCCTACTCTGTCATGGACCTTGGGCCAATCACACACACTCAACCAGATCTACTTCAATGCATTATTGTGAGGATAAAATGGAGGAGAAGAGAATGAAGTAAGTGCTTTGGGTCCCCATTGGGACAAAAGTGGAGTATAAGTCCAATAAATAAATGATAACTATAGCTGAAGACTGGGGGCAGATTAAAGGAAGGTTGGTTGGTCAATACGAAGGAGAGAAGAAAGCAAGGAAAGAAGGACAATATGAGGCTGTCAAAAGGAAAGAGGAAATAGTGTGGGGAAGGGGATACAGGGGGAAATAAGTAACTCCTGCCAGTCCTTGCAGGTTCCCCGCTTGTTACAGTCAAATTCAGATGTAACATTTACTCTCTCAAGGGTCACTGGGGTGAATTCTACCCCTCTCCTGCAACTCTAAGGTTTGAAACCTTCCACAAGCCTAGGGAGGCCTTCCTCCAACCTCTTCCATTTAAGGAGGAAGGACCCTGGATAAATGCTCCTTGGAAGATGGTTGGATCCACCCCACTATCTGAAGTGATCCAAAGAACAGAGGTGTCATGTGGGGATGATGTGGACCTCTGCGTGGAGATTCTCCATGTTGAACCTGTCATGGATGTGACTTTCCATTCGTAGCTTATCATGGCTGTCTGTGTGTCAGGGGTCACCAACTTTTTCTATAATGAAAGTTATTTCTGAGTAATGACAAATATTTTGGGCTACCCCATGTTGCCAAATTTTGTTCTATCCTAGAAACAAAATATGAACTAGTAAAGAAAAATCCTATGAAATAAATTTGGGGGGGTTGCTATTTTATTCTGGTTTCCACTGGATTTTAAAAACTATTATTGTAAGTCACCTTTGAACCTAAAGGAAAGGTGGGGTATAAATGTTTTAATACTGAATTACTTGTTGGAGATTCCTGATTTATACAAATCATGAAAAACCATGAAAAACTCAGAATCAGCCTTCTGAGTCATCAAACATGCCCATGCTATAATGTTTTGCTACTTTAGAATATTTATTTTTAGCCCTGTTCTAGCCAAATTTGGCCCTGATCTCAACCCAGAGGACGTGTATATATTGTATTCCAGAAGCTCCATCCTGTTTGAAACACGTTGGCCAAAAGGAGGAAAAAGCTTCACCCTCTGACTTTCTCCCCCATCTCCTCCCACTTAAGAGTCATAATTGTTTGAAAGAAGAGGGTTCACTTTATTTAAATCACTGTGTGGGAAGAATTTTTCCCTTGTGAAACCTGTGATCAAAGCCATCTCAAATGCTCAAGGCATTTCCGAAACAGGAAGCCCAAGCATTTCTTTGTTATTTCCCTCATCCTCTGCCTGGTGACAATGAAGGAGATGATTCTTGTGACTGCAAAACAAAAAGTCTGCCTTTGCCTCATTCAGTTTTCTGGTCTTAAAGGCACTCCTTAAAAGAATTACAATTTTATTGATCAGTTTTGAAAAATCAGACTTCTAACCCAATCATATTTTCAATGGATACCCACAGATGTTAACTGTCTTGACAAATGTTCAGAGTCAAATTCCATCTTTTTGGTGGTTTACCTGCAGCTAAGAAGGCTGATCTTGTTCCCCGATAGTAGCTGCCAAGGTACAAGCCAAGATATGCTTTACCATGGCTAAATCAGTATTCCAAGCTTTCCAGTCCTAATCCATGAAGTACTTCCCTCACTTGTTATAAGAACATAAGAGATGCCAGTGTTGGATCAGACCAAAAAGTGGCAAATTTAGCCACTTCAATAATTATCAATAATTGTTATCAATATTTGTAAACCCAACCCACCCCCAGTCCCCATGATACCCCAATACACACTTAAAACATATTATACCACTGAAATAGAGGTGGGACTCCACTTCTGTGGGGGTCATAGCCAGGAAAATGGCCTGTGTAGTGGTCTGGGGGCTGGGCTGCTGTCCCTTGTTCCTAACAAGTGAATTGTTCTTCAGGAAATGAGATCCACAAGCAATTGGCATTGAGTGGAACTATTGCATCCCTTCATGTTAGAAGGATCTCAAGCACCACAAAACCCTGTGGTAGTCGACTTGCCAACTGATATCTGTATTCTATAATAAAAGCTAGAGAATGTCAGCTTCTTTTTTAATAGCTCCTTTACCCCCTGGCCATTTGTAGGAAGAATTTAAAGAGAAGAAAGGAGACCACTTTAAAAACATGATTTGTGAAAAGAAGTCAAATCAATGTGACATCAAACTGGCAGATTCAGAGTTGAACAAGGACTGCATACTGCTAGTTGAAGTTAACAAGAAAGGTCAGTGGGGATTGTTTACAATTCAGATTATTCAAAATTATTCAGTTTTTTCCTGCATTTTAAGGACTGAGTGTTTTGCCATGATTGGGGAATTTCTGTTTCAGTCTGTTTGGGTTTAAGAGGTTCTTTGTTTCACCCTCAGAGTGGAGGGTGTTGAATTGTTGATCATCAGGTAAAATGTAAGTACTCAACTGACTTTGGAAAGCAAGATGTATGTTCCAGACTGGCTTTTTTTAAACAACTGCTGCTCCTTCTCTGTGGCATCATCTGTGTAACATCTTGCAAAACAAGGCCTTGAAATTCTTATGGTCATGACTATATCAGAACTAGTATCTCATGTTTGGGATATGTTACAATAAATTCCCTAGCTTTAAACTAAACTTGTGTTTGAAGAATATGTGTGTGATGGCTTTGGAAGTTGCCAGCAGATTATTTCTTCCGCTGAGCAGCCCATTCCAGTTGTTATTCCTTGCAAATAACATTAACAGTTCAGCATGGATTGTATTGCACTTTTTTCTGAGTAAAGACCATAAGTATTTTCACACACAGTGCTGAAAGCGTCCATAGTCACTTTGGGATATGATTGTAAACTAGTCTTGCCAACTCTGGGTTGGAAATTCCTGGAGATTTGGAGGTGAAGCTTGGGGACGGTGTGGTTGGGAAGGGGAGTGAGCTCAGCTGGGATGTGATGCCCTAAAAACTCACCCTCTGAAGCTGCCATTTCCTCCTGGGAAACTGATTCCTGCCGTCTGGAGATCAGTTGTAATTCTGGGAGAGCTCCAGCCCCCATCCGGAGTATGGCAACCAGTGTTCCCTCTAAGCTGAGTTAGTGTGAGCTAGCTCACAGTTTTTTAGCCTCTGGCTCACACATTTTTTGTCTTAGCTCAGGAAGGATGGTTCCAGAGCAAAGTAATGTATGCAGTAGACAAATTGCCTGCTCACAACTTTAATGCCAGTAGCTCACAAAGTAGAATTTTTGCTCACAAGACTCCACAGCTTAGAGGGAAGTGAAGACTATAATGCTCACTCACATTACAACTGTTTTCTACATGAACTACAGTCTCACCGTGTGTGAGAGACTCAATAAGAATTTTAATTTTATGTCTGAAAATGTATGGTGCCTTTTCAGCATCTTCCATTTTTTAATTAATGGATACCAACCATATATAACAGATGGATACTAGTTTAGCCATGTAATTAATCCAGCTTTTTGATTGTTTTGGAAACTGCAGGTGCCGACGTACTAGATGCTCTCCTACAGAAACAAACTGCTTTGACACAGGTAATGAACACACATGGGGTACGTGTAGTAAGGAACCACAGTATCCAAAGTATTTTAGAAGTTGCATGAAATGCCTTAGGAGCTATTGTCTGTCAAGGAAGTTGTACAGATGTATGGATCTGACTGGGGTTTTTTATCTGTGCAGGAACCTAACATGAGGGCATTATAATCATAAGCACACACCACTACTGCATGGAAGCCTGGTAGAACAAGCTACAATTCACCATATTTACTCTATTTCATGATTTCCCAAGCTAATGAATAGTAATATAGGGCACCTAGATTTCTGAGGATGCCATTTAAGAAAAACTATTAAATGCAAGAGATTTTCAGGAAGTTTTGCACTGGCACCCTGAAAATCAAGATCTTCCGTGTGGCTGAACATTCAGAATATCTGAAATCAACTACAAGGCATGGATGGCCCAGGTTAGCCCAATCTCATCAGATTTCAGAAGCTACGCAAGGCTGTCCCTGGTTAGTACTTGGATGCAGGGCTCTTTTTGTACAAAAAGCCCAGCAGGAACTCATTAGCATAATAGGCCACACCCAACAGCAGGAACTCATTAGCATATTGGGCCACACCCCTGACAGCACAGCTCATTAGCACATTAGGCCGCACCCACGTGTTACCAGAAGTGTGGTTATCCAGCCACACCCAGGGCCTTTTTTTGTAGTAGGAACTCCTTTGCATGTTAGGCCACACACCCCTAATGTAGCCAATCCTAATGAGTTTCTGCTGTTGGGTGTGGCCTATTATGCTAATGAGTTCCTGCTGGGCGTGGCCAACTTGGAAGCCAGCCGGAACTCCATTCCTGTGCGTTCCTGCCCCAAAATAGCCCTGCTTGGATGGGAGACCACCAAAGAAGTCCAGGGTCTCTACACAGAGGCAGGCAACAGCAAACCTCCTCTGTATGTCTCTTGCTTTAAAAGCCCTACAGGGTTGCCAAAGATTGGTTGCAGTTTGACAGATCTTCCCAGTGGCTTCTTGCTGAACATTCAAAATATTTGAAATCAACTTACAGGCCTACATACATATGTGCTCAGCCATGACACATGCTATACATGTCTGTTCCCCATGTGCTACCTTTCTGTGTGTGTATGAGCCTTTGTATACCAATTATTTATTTAAATGCTTATATCCTCCCATTCCCTCCATTCACAGAGGCTCCAAGTGGTTTGCAAATCATTTTCTCTTTGACTGTATAGGTGGATTATATGAAAATATTTTCAGAGAGAGATACTATGGTACTATGTAATCATCCTTTTTGAGTTCTGCAGTGGAGGTTATTCTTTCTTTTTTTTTACAATGTGATTGTCTGCTGCAGGAGTTTGACCAATTATACGGCTAGGTTTATAACACAGTGTTTTTAATAACAGTCCCCAGTAGTAATTCAGAGCACTTTTTTGGCCCTTGACATCTTCAAAGCATGATAATACATTAATTAATGAATCCTCGTGACTCTCTAGTCAGGCTGCTCTCTGCTTGTAAAGCTGGACTCCAGGCGCCTGTAAAAATAGCACTGAACTGCTAAATGTGCCTGTAGCTGCTGCAGCTGTCTTGCACTAGATCTTGTCATGGATGAAAAGTAACTGTTGGGAATACTTTGAAATTGGGTGTGAGACAAGAAATTGTAAGAACCATGAGGCATTCTGCCCAGATGGGTGTCACCTATGTAGGGTAAATAGTGTCAAGCCCCAGAAAGGAGATTGGGAGAAGTGATTAAACTGCAAAGCATTTAACAGTGTGGAGGTTATTCTTTAAACTGATTTAGGCCGTTTTTAAAAGGACAAAAATGACTCTTAGAATTCTTTACAATTAAAAATTAAGAGAGTATGAAAAAGGTGGGAATCAAAGACAAATGTCATTTGAGTCAGGTGCTTTAATATCGGAAGTAAAACTACACACATTGGGGGATCAGTCTGGTAGTAATTTCAGCTGGTTTTCATGGGAAATATATTTCTGGATGCAATGTTCCCTCCCCCTATTTAAGTGGAATGAAATTCTGGGGGTTGCATATTTCACCTATCCCCCAGATTTAAGAGATATGGGAGAATGGGAGCTTGTTCTACAAGCAATTCAAATTTTCATTTGCAGAGTAAACACAAGGATGTGTAATCTGGGTGTATGGTAGATGGGGTGAGTCTGTTGTTTTACATAAGTGGTGTCTGTGAGCAAGGGAAGCTAAATCATGCGCCCCACCTTATCTCACCATGCTCCATTTCTTTCAGCACTTTTTACCCCCTGGCAAGGGCGTAGACTTTCCAATTTCCCGGGGGGGGGGGCTGGGGCTGGGCCAGAGGCATTGCTAAGTCATTAAAAGAACTGGGATCCAATGACATCATAGGGAGGAGCTAGTGACATCACAGGCCATGGTCACTATCTATAGAGGTGGACCCATGTGGGATTTAGGGATGGGCTCCCCAGAAATTTACGGAGGCCTGGGAACTGCCCTAGCAATGGGCTAACCCCAGGAACAGTTGCCTTCTTAGCACACTGCTTAGAAACTTAGAAAGCCCCACACACACCCCACACTGGAATAAGAACATAATATCAGGCCATACCACATTGCAATTAAGTCCCTACAACTGAATACAGAAATACT